GGTTTCCTATCGTGGTGGTGTCCGCTGGTAGTGGTGGTGCTGTCAGAGTGGTGCTGCGCCTCGTTCGACGACGGCGGCGAGGGAGAGAAAGAAAAGTGGCCCTCGAGGTTACGAGGCCAGAGGAGAAAGTGGGTGTTGCCGGAGTGACAACGGGGAGGATCATCCGGCACCTCGACGCCAGGACTCGAGGAATAGGATGTTCGTCGGTCGTCGATCCAGGAGTCGACGTCTCGCGACCGACGGCTGTCTGATCCTCGTCGAACGCGTGCCTCGTGAGTACGATCTTCCCAGGACGTGTACCTTTTTACCCTGATTTTCGTTCGTTGACGACCGGAGGACGTTCGATCCTGCACGCTTCCGCCGAGATCCACGGGAGCGCCAGGGATTCTCGGTCTCGAAGAATCCAGTGGGACGCGGTCGCGAAGGAAATAGAGGTCGGATGCAAATTACGAGCATGAACGAGGCGGTGTGCGATGGGCACGGTAATTGGGACGAGGGGACGTTGGGCTTACTGGGCGCGGAAGAGAGATGCGTCGGATACTTCCCCCTTTTTTCTCTCGCATCCTCTTCCTCGTTCCAGCAATTTTTTTCCCCTTGTCCTCTTCTGGCCGCGTTTCGTTCTTTCTCTTTGTAAACAGAAGTCAGTGGCGCGTAAATGTACATAGATGGGCGTGTAGGTGAAACTCTGACGGACGAGTTTTTTTTTTTTCGATGTAACGAGGGACCGGTGGTGTTATCGTGCGCAACGATGACTCGGTGCCCTTTCCGCTCCGCTCCGCTCGCGTGCCACCTCTTCGGGTTAACACACAGCGGGTGTACAGGAATACCAGAAATAATACTCGAGGCTCGTCGACCGGCCGAGAGTCGAGAACGCATCCCTCCTCGCCTCGTTCTTCTCCCCGTCGGTGTGCACTGGCCTCGATTAGTTCTCGCTTAGAGAGAGAGTTGTGACCGGATTATTCTTTTTCTTTTTTTTTTAGGGGTGCTGTAGAGGGAGGACGAAAGGGGTGCGCTAACGACGTCACCGTGTCGAGTGAGTCACGGCTTCTAAATTGATCCCCCACCCGTTGGCTCGCTTCAGCCTCCTCTTCCTCTTGTGTTCCTTGCTTTTACTCCGCCTGTTCCTGCTTTCTCGTTCTCTCCGCGTCGTCCCGTCTCCGTTCCTCTTCAGCATCTCGTTTTCTCCTCATCTCCATCAACGTAGCCAGGCGCGTTGATTTAATTCCCGATGCAACGTGCCCTCCCGATTTACGCGACGAGGAAATATGTCCGGGTCGAGGGAACGATCTCGAGGTCGTAACGTACTTCCAACTTACTTACGAGCAGACGGTCGTTCAATAATTTCGCAAGGTTATGGGAACCGCCGATATCACTGGCTACTACTCGTTTCGCAAGAATGATCGATCTCCTGCTTCCGTCTTAAGGCCAGGCCATCCGCGTTCGTGTTCCGGTGTCATGTCGCTCGACGGCTGTCTACCGTTGTATTTTAACGATCCCCCGATAAGATTAAACGTCGATGATTGCGTGACGGTTTGTCGTTCTACGTGTGTCTCGTTATCAGCCGGGACGGTGATTGAATAGGGGCTACAGCTTTTAAATGAGTTATCTCTCGTCGAGCATGCTTGCTGAAGCACCATGTGCTTTGTGTTTCGCCGTGACGAGGATAGTGGTGAATGGTGACGGGTGATAAGTCGTTTTTAATATATTGTTGATCGCGCTGGCTACGACAGGATGTCGTGTAACATACTTTGATAACAGCAAATTCCATCGTTCCGTTTAAAGGTTTGTCTTGTTAGCACGTCTTTGCGATTATTCTATAATCGTTCTATTTTTGTTTTATAATTATCTCGCTATTACGTAATCATTCTATTTTCGTGTTTTGTTCCGTTGTTTTATTAGTTCTATTTTCGTCTCGTAATTATTCAATCGTTGTATTCATTCTATTCTTGTCTTGTATTCGAGTCAATCAACGCGTTGAAGGGCATCTTTGTTGTACATTAAAATTGATCGAATCGATACATTTAAATGAGAATTACATTAGTGGAAATTAATGTATGACGTCGAGAAAAAGTTATAGAAAGGTATTGCAATTTATAGAGACATGTTTGCCTAACATTGTTCCTGGCATTGAAGCTATAAAACAAACGAGTATGTTTGAAAAACAAATCAGTGCACGAGGAATGATTGAAATCACGATTCAATTCGTCGTTTCAGCAAACAATTTCAAACAATCAAATATTATTGACGAATCGATCGATTCGACATCTAGTTCCTTAATAATTTAACAGCCATTGCAACCGTTTGACCTCTCTTCACACTCAGACCATAAAGCAAACAAACGTTTCAAAAACGAACCAGCACAATCAAGATGTTCTAAATTATGACTTTATTCGTTCTATCAGCAAACTCAGATAATCATACGTTGTTATTCGTCGATTTAATCTCTTAATAAGTTTAGTTTTGAAGCTTAATAACTTAATAAATATAATTGTTTAATATTTATGTAGAGCATAAAACAGTTTCACGAACTGATCAATCAGACTAATATCATATAGTTTGTCATATCAGCAAATAATTAATTATGACATAGTTCATCGCGGCAGCAAATAATTATAACCTAGTTTATCAGCGAGTGATTAATTATAACCCACTTGATCATATCAGCAAATAATCTGAAATAAATATCAAAGTAACTTCGACGCCCTAAATAATTTAACAAGTAAATTCACCTAAACAAATCCTATCAATCTCGATAATCGAACAGATTTCAATTATAACTCCGTTCCAGCAGTCGAACGCTATGAAACTATCGATCGGCATTGTATTTTTAAATAATAGAACAAGTTATACAGTTCACCCAAATACGTCCGTCCAATTTCGCGTCTTGACATTCTTTCCCGTCGCAGCGGGCTAAAAAGCCTGGAAGAAATTCATTTCCGATAAGAGCGCCGTTAAAACGTTACGAAAACAAACAAAAGATAATTAAATCATCAGTGGCTCGGCCAAATTACGTTGATCAAAAGAGAAAACGATGCGAACAACGAGTCTAAACATTTCCGTTCGCCGCTCCCGCGGTACTCGCGTTTATTTCTCTCCTCCTTTCTCCTCCCTTTTTTTCACGGAATGCCGAGTTAAGTTACGTTTAATGTAACCCCCTTCGTTTCTTCCCCTGCCCCCCGGACGTCCCTGGCCGCCCGGATGCCGGCTGTTTTCTCATTAAGGAATGGAAAGTTCTTATCCCGGCGGAATGGAACGCTTCGTGTCGCCTCGCGACGAAAGCACGGCCACTCGTGACAATATGGCGAAATGAATATCACGGAAATATCAGGGAACGCTTGGACGAGCACAAGAATCCATTATCGGGGCTTAATATCTCCTCCATTTGTCCCCGACTCTTTATTTCTTTCACCGATATGATGCTTTATTAGCGTCTCCTTTTCCCGGAGATGAATAGTCTCTTCCTCGTTTCCCCGGTGCTCTCGATCGGAAATGAATCGAAGCGATTCGAACAACGGCGCGGATTAAGGGATCGTTGATCGTCGAAAATTGCATCGCGACGAATCTGGGGGAAAAATGGCCGGCCAGGACACCCTGACATTTCGATTCCGAAAGGTCACCGAATGTGGAACAACTTTCGAGCCGGAGCTGATCGAGCGTTCCCGCGGGAATCAGCCGGCAGGGTTGCCTTAATATTTTGCAGCCCACGGGGCGTTTGACGGGCGCGAAATCGACGGGCCGGAATGGAAAACTCGATTCATCGAATTACCCTGGAAGCCTCGTGCTCGTTGGCCCTGCGAAATTAATTAGACGGCCATCCGGAAGGCTTTTCGATCGATTCCCATCGACCGGATTTCGAGCTGAAAAATTCCACGATGAATTGGACCGAATCGATTCCAGTTGCTCCCTGATTGCTAGTCGATTATTCCGATCGCTGCGTGAAATTGCTACTTTTCCGCGTTATTTTTTCTACCTCGGTTTTACGCGGATAAAAAACGGTTTCAAATAATTTATTATTCTTCCGTGCGAAATTCGCATGAATTATTTGCGGGACATTTTTATTTCATGTGGAAAATTGGGGTGAAATTATCTATTACTCGAATTGACTATTACTGTATTTTCAGAAAATTTATACTTTTTATGCAGCTGACTGTGTTGTAGATTAAGTATTTTAACAAATATTTAATTACATATTTATTCAGATACAGAATATTGAATGTTACTTTATTTCCTATGAAAATATGGAACAGTCTGAAGAAGAATTATTACAATAAATATATTGTTCAACACGTAAATATTGTTCTGAAATAAGACAGTAAGTAAATTGCTCAAACACAAATAAGATAATAAGAAGACAAGTAATTAGTAAAATAAGACAAGTACATTTTCGAAATAAAATATATTCAACTGCCTATTAAAATAATTAATTTTCAAAAGCATAATAAATGTAACTATAACAAAAAATAAATGTAGCTACAATAATATTGATTATAATTTAAAAATATACTTGAAGTTTAAATAAATGATGTCTGCTCACCGAAGTCTTCTACTTAATATTCGCCATCAGTAGCGACTGACGTTCAATTTGTTTCTCGACTCAGATATCCTGTTTATTTGCGAAAGATTACTGGGAGAAGCATTGTCTGTTTGCTTTCTTATATTCAACTCGCTCAATACGTCGCGTCTGACCACCACAATCCCGTTCTACTTAAAATTCCGCGTTAGCGTAGTGACTGACGTTCAATTTATTTCTCGATTCAGATATCCTCTACTTCGCTCCAAGCGGTTAACTTATTTAGAGAAGTGTCCTTTATTTGCATTTTCAAGTTCAAGGTATTAACCCGACATAGTGTTCGTTCTACTTAAAATTTTACCGAGGTTTATGAAACAGCTTCCTGTTTTTGAATTATGTATTTGTCTGTGAAGGAATAACCAGCCGTACATGTAAACGTATGAGTTTATCCAAACAGGAACATCAAAAACATCGAAACAGTTGCATACATCAAAAACGTCAAAACCTTAAAAACATCTGAAACATAAAAAACATCAAAACAACAAAAATATCAAAAACAGCAAAAACATAGAAAATATAAAAAATGATTAAACTACGAATGTTCACAGATTTAAAAGAAATTGCAGTCTGCAAAGATACAAAACCACGGTCTATTGCACAACTTGCATAAACTCCGAAGACTTCGATGAATGTAATAAATATCCGCAGTCTAGTTAATACAATAGGCTATATTATAATAGAACGTTTGTATAGCAATTGTAACTGTTATGAGAGTTGATCCGCAGAGACTGTAGCTTGTTCTCCATTTTAACGGGAGACAACAGGCAAGCCAATACTTATCCACGAACTGTCTTGGTGTTTGTATTTTGCCTCTTGTGGTTCGCAGATTGTCTGCGGACATGTGTCTACGGACAATTGTCTGTAAGCCTCTACTTATGTACCTCGTTTTACAATGAGACAACCTCTCGCTCATGTTCTCTCGTCATCAAGGTATATAAATTGACGTACCGTTGTCCCGTATCCATTGGGGTAGCCAGCATTTTTGTCTGGGGTGAGTTTCTTAGCTTTGTTAGGGCGATGATGGGTATCTTGGGTGATTTGGGGTTTTGGGAGTTCAGGGTTTGGGAATTTGAGAAATCTGGGAAATTTGGGGGATTTGGAGAATTTGGTGAATTTGGTGAATTTGGAAAATTTAGGCAATTTGAGATTTGGGAAATTTGGAATCTAGAGAATTTAGAATTGGGGAATTTGGGATTTGAGAGATTTGGAATCTGGGAAATTTGGAATTTGGGAATTTGAAATTTGGCAGAGTTGGAATCTGGGGAATTTAGGATTTATATATATATATATAAATAATTTATATATATAGGATTTGGAAAATTTGGGATTTGGGGAATTTGGGATTTAGAAAATGTGGAATTTGGGGAATTTAGGATTTGGAGAACTTGGGATTTGGAGAATTTGGGATTTGGAGAATTTGGGATTTGGAGAATTCGAGATTTGGAGAATTTGGGATTTGGAGA